TTTATCTTGCGTGAGAGAATGGATTTTTTCACTGCTCGTTTCTATTACAGCTTACAACACTACCAAGTATATCCACAGCAATCGTATTGTTGGTTACTGGACCTACAGAGCTGCTGTAAGGGTATTTCTACTAAATGATGAAAGCTCGAATAATTCATACTCAAAGCAAATCAGGACACCCACAGCTCGTAAGTTACAATTTGTCTTTTCATTACGCCGTATTGATTTACAACTGAGATTTCAAAAATAGAGGATTTGAGCCCTTTATTTACAAAATAAATCCCCCCCACCCTCCTTGAATAGATTCGAAAAAATACGGCATTAGCACCTCCGAATCCAAAGTTCTGCACTGTTGTCTATTATTTTTGGCCATTGTTATTTACCTGTAATCGTGTTTGTGTGGGTCTCTTTTAGCGGCAGGTACAGTTCATGTATTCCGTGTTATTATTCTGGGACATAATCATTCCGATGCTAAAGTTTGGTGGAGATGTCCACATGAGAAGGAGCGCAATGGTATTATAACAAACTACACTGTAGAAATAAAATTGAATGTAAGTTGAAGTTGTTATTATTTTTCTTTATGTAATAAGTGGTTATCAAAATGTACAAGTTGGCATAGGAAGCGAAATGACTAATATTAGATTGTGGAGTTCTTAAAGGAATTTTTAAAAAGGTTTTATCGGGGAAACTGATGGTATCAAATTGCACCATACCAATTTTAAATCAGACGTCTGTGGTTTCTGCAATTCCACTAAAACTAAGTGTTAGGCCATACTGGTTGCACGAATAACTAGATTGTAATGTATATTGATGACTCCAAGTGGTTAAGGGGAACCTTTTTGTAAGGTCATGACATTTGCTGCTGAGTGAAGAGAGACAATAATAAAAGACAATGTTAGACAGGTCGGGAAAACATACCCTGCAACCCTTTCAAGTTATTCTTGGTTATGAATTGTTACGTTTTACGAAATGTAAGTTGAAGTTGTTATTATTTTTCTATATGTAATGCTAAGTGGTTATCAAAATGTACATTGTTGAAATAACGTGGTAGTGTGAAAATTTACAGATTACATATTATATCATTTTGATAATAATTTCGATATATTATGTATGACTATGATTATGTTGTGAAGTTGCCTGAAAAGGGTTTATCCAAATGAAGTTCATACAAGGATAACGTCGCATTTGACAATAATGTTTTTGTGGTTTAAAAACTACATATTAAGAGTTTCTTATAGTCTATAACGCATTCATTCCAAATAAAGATTTCACGTTGAAGGTATTTTGTACCATGATATTGTCCTTTTGGCATCAACAGTTTTTAAGAACTTCTGTAATTTGTTTTCGGTGATGCCAAAATTGTCATTTTTAATTATCTATTACGAAGTGGGCAAATGAGTTTGCTCCCGATTTGACTACCTAAATTACTCATTCAGATTCTCGTGTTTGTTTTCAAGGCACATATTCAAGGTTAAGTCGAATTTGAAGATATTTTAAGCTACTTAATCAAATTTCTGGGTACTAAATGAGAACTTTCAAAGTCAATAATTGATGTTTTTTAATAGAAAAAAAAGAGAAGGGAACATAAAAATGCTATATATTTTATTTTATACTAGGGATCTGAAGACACTACTTTTTATACAATTCCTAAAGATGAAAATATCAATAACGATTATTGCAAGTATGAAAAAAATATTGAAATTAAACCAGGGAGTGTTTATACATTTACCATAGTAAGTATATATAATGTTCGCATTAAATTTTTTACACAATGATAATGTTCACTGTCCAATATACATTTATTGTTTCTCACCAGTAATACTCTCTGATGTTTATTTACATAGATCTTGTTCGATTTCCCTGCTAATAGCAGATTTTGGCGTTTTTGAAAGGTCATATAATACGATAAGCAGGCAGACTTGATTGTTCGGAGGGGCAAGTAATATATCCGGAGGGCTAATTGTGTATAGTGTTTAGTTGCAGTAATGGAATTGGTCGGTTGTCAGAATTTTATCGGGAGGGCAATCCATTTTTTCATTACCCCTTGTTGGTACGAGCCTGTTTCAGTGGCTTACTTCCTCCATGTGACCAGGTAGCGTATTCTAAAACAATGATCATCGATCTAGGGTCTCAGAAACAGTGTTAGAATTTCTAAAGAGTTTGAAAACCCTTGGTCTGGAACATCCTAGCGCTAAGATCGTTTCCAGAATACGCGGCCAAGATGACCGGCCTTCCGGTGTTCCTTTAATTAACTCACATTATGTCGTATTACGTTATGTTTGCAACATACTTTATTATGTTATTATCAAATATTTTTATTTCAATCAGCGAGCAAACAATGAAGATTATCTTGGTAAAAAATTTGTTGAAGAATATACTGCAGAGGAAGCTAGTAAGCAGACGTTAATTTCGCACATTCAATTCAAGCTTGATTAACATTCGTTTTACAACGTGATAGCCCTCGGCTTAATATTGAAATATATGAAATACACTCGCAGCCCCGAAAGCAAGTTTTTCGGGCAAAAATCTCATAAATAGGTGAGGAATTCGGGCAATCTCAGCTATTTCGCTTCCTCTCGCCGCCACAGTTGAAATATTAGAATCTAATTCTGTAAAACTTAACATAGGTCATCGTATTCCGAATACGGGTTTTGACAAGTCTTAAAACCTTGATTTATGTCAAAAACGACTTGATCTTTTTCAATAATTCAGATAAGTAAATTGAGTCCTCAAACTTTCACATGAATCGGTTATTGTTAACTGCCTTAACTTTTCAGAGTCATTCGCCATTATTTTGAACTGGGCTTGCATGTTGACATGTAATAGATAATGCTAAAATAACATTCATTGTAATTTCAGCTCCATATTTATCACCATTACATGAGGCCAGTATGACCCAGTATCTACTACAGAAACTACTGTCACCTTCCAGTATTGTTCAAAATGTCTATTAGACGAATCCAATGGAGCCATTACATATTCAGCTTTAATAATATGTCATTTTAAACACTGTAACGATAGAAGACTAGGTATTATAACTGTCTTCAAATTTATCATCTCGCTTTACATGCTTTATGTTCTTAAAAGTATGAGATGTTAACCCTTTTAACATCAACAACTGTAGTTAAAATTGGCAAGCTTGTTAATTTTTAGATCTTATTAAGTCAATTTGTCGTATTTAACAAGTTGGCTTAGGGAGCGAAATGACTAATATTAGATTGTGGAGTTCTTAAAGGGATTTTTAAAAAGGTTTTATCGGGGAAACTGATGGTATCAAATTGCACCATACCAATTTTAAATCAGACGTCTGTGGTTTCTGCAATTCCACTAAAACTAAGTGTTAGGCCATACTGGTTGCACGAATAACTAGATTGTAATGTATATTGATAACTCCAAGTGGTTAAGGGGAACCTTTTTGTAAGGTCATGACATTTGCTGCTGAGTGAAGAGAGACAATAATAAAAGACAATGTTAGACGGGTCGGGAAAACATACCCTGCAATCCTTTCAAGTTATTCTTGGTTATGAATTGTTGCGCTTTACGAAATGCAATTTGAACATGAACTATTTCCTCAATTTTTAGAAACAATTGACGAACAGGTAATACGAAAGTTTATCACGTGGAAACAAGCAAAAGAAGCTGATTTTAATTCGCCATTTTTAGTAACAAAGGGAGATTGGATAAAACTCTCTAATAATTCGGGTAAGTCAACAAAGTTCCAAAACGTTGTAAATGATTCAACGAGTCATAGAATTTTTGTCGGCATTGGTTAGCCTTTTATTTGACCTTATTGTTGGATTAAACTTGAAGGACATGTAGTAATCTGGATGAGACATTGGGATACGGAAGTTACGACCTAAAATCAAGTCGACATCGTTCTAAGTTCATTTTATCTTTATACTTTCAAATGAATCAATTAAGTTAACTACATCAATGATATTAAATATATTTTATATTCTTTCTGTAAACCTTTTTCTGA